AAGAGAGCGCCCGCCTTTTCCTTGCGCCAACTTATCCCTCCCGCCGATATTTCAATCAAGAATCTAGATGGAGACGTATTTAATAAACATCTCTCAGCATCCTCCAGGCCAATGGCTACCACGTTCAACCACCACGGTGGGGCGGAAATATATCACGGACACCTGCAGGCGAACCAAAATTACGTTGGGAGACGCGAAGTTTAACGAGTCTCCCTTTACGATTGATTTTTAATTTAGACTCAATTATCAAAGAGGGCATCCTTTCTTTATCTCTTTTTCCCCCCTCCCGTCTCCGCCCAACCGTGATTGCGTTTCCCTACCAGAGGGGAGAAATAAAAGTAGGAATAAAAGAAAGAAAAAAAGGATAAATCTATACATTGCACCCAATGACAAGATTTCTAGGTTCGTCTGTTTAAAACCGTGAACGTCAAGGTTTCATGATGTCCTGCACCCTTCATGAAGACAAAGACAGCATACATGAAACAGAGGCAGTTTCTACTGTCATGGTACATGATGTGTTGTGGTTCAAAGGGGGTTTACATCTAGTCGCAGAATATCCAACCAGCTGTAGCTTTCGGGCTGCCAACGAATTTCGAAAATGGCATAAACGCCAAACACAGGGGTGAGAAATCCAAATGGAGAAGAGGTGAGTTCACCGAGCTTGGTCGAATTTGGAAAAATTAACCTTGGAGGTCAAGGTACACCCTGAAGCTAACGTTCTGAAAGCGCTTGAATGGATCATACCCAACAGAAATTATTTTTTGATTCGGGGAGGGAGAGGATATCTCCCGTTACGAAACTTTGCAGCTTAATTTCGGACTCAACGAATTCATTTCCTTCCAGTAAACATCAGAACGTCCAGGATGGCCCGCCAGATTTTCCCTTGTGAGGCTAAAATCAAAACCCACCTGCCTGTTCTCTGTCTTCCCCACCCCACCCCAAATTTTCAACGTAAAAGGGAAACGGGAGAAGTCCTGAACTCATCTTGAACGATTTCTAAAGCAAATGCCACCAGTTTGAAACCAAATACGCTAACGTGTGTTTCATCAATATGTAAATTTTATCACACTGAAAATGGTTCAAACCCCCCGCCCTCCAGCAACATGCGATGCATGCTGATGCAGAGAACTCAGCCACGTTTATTAGATATAAGAATATGGAGCCAGGACCTGAAATTTATTTACTTCTGTTCTCCACTTGTGTTTGTTCACTTCGAAAGCTTCTATGGTGTCTTCGTCTCCAACACACACAATTTGCAAATATTTGCACCCTCGCGCCACATGTCCGGTTTAGAAGAACAGAGTGGCTAAGACGGTGACCCAAATATTCTCCACTGAATAAGACCCACGTTCAGGGTGACATCAAGGTTGACACCGTCACAGTTAATTCCACCACAACACAACCAAGAGACATCCTTGGCACATAACCCTAACCAGCCGAGGGGCGTTGGCCAAAAAAAAAATTAAAATAGTCAATAGGCTGACATCCTCAAGAGTCTCCTGGCTTCAAAGAAACCTTCAGCCACGCGATGCATAGCCAAAACATTCACCGCAATCACATCCCGTTCCCCCACCCCCCCATATAACCACAATCTTGAATCCCCGTCTTCCTTGCATTTCAAAATTGGGATTTTGGGAATCGAATCCAAAGGGAAGGAGTGATGGTGTTTAGAAGATGGAGGGTGTTCAGGAAGAACCCACCCAACGTCAACGCAGGGAACGAGACGTCTACTCCCAGTGACGGTTGTGGACCTCAAAGATGGCTCTCTGGCTGAGTATATTTGTTTTGAAGAGGTAGGGGACCTTTTAGAGGGGTGCTCCAGGGCCACATTCACCCAAAGAGGAGACAAAGACAATTCAACCTTGGGTGCCACTGGACAAACCCCATCGCCCTATCCCTCGAGTCGACTCTCCTTTGAGAAAAATAATCCAATCTTTGTAACTCAAGGAGGCCGGCATGGTCAACGTGCAGGCTCCCCCCCCCATAAGATAGCAGGCCTCGTTCAACGAACGTCACAGATTCGCTTCTCGAACATTTCAGTCTCAAGAATGAAGCCCCTCATTCACAACGACAGGAAATGGGGCTGGGGAGGGAAGCCTTCTTCTATGAAACGTCCCCCCCCACCCCACAGAGCTCTCTCATAGCAAGAGTAGGGCACATAAGCGAGGAGTGGCCATTCTTTCCCCACTGAGACCTATATGCATAGGGGCCTTTGGAAGAGGGAGAGAGGGAAGGAGAGAAAAGTGGCTTTTTTAGAACAAAAAGCTTTTTCTTTCATAGTTCTCCACCTTATTATGGCTTTACACTACCACATACTGCAAGTTCGTTTTTTGCACAGGTAAATATATGCCCCCACTTCAGCGGATAGGAAGCCAAACCGGGGGGGGGGGACATGGTGCCCATGGACACCTCTGGCCAAACCCTTCAATCTTTTGCATCCACAAATAATCCAATGTCTTTCCAGAGGGTGGATGGCTGAAACTTTTTACATTGGTCTGTGTATAAACACACACACACATGTGTGCATGTATACATGAGAACACAGAACCTATAAATGGACTCATTCGAGCCATGCCACCGCTCACCTGAAGACGACCCATTACCTTATTTTTCTCCCCCCCCACCTCACAACCTGGTTGCAAATTCGAAAACAAAACTGAAGAAGACACCAGCCATCCTGGGATTCTGAGCCTTCGAAGGAGAAAACATGAAACCTGGCGATGTTCAAATAAAATATAATTCTTGCTCCAAAAATTAATTTAAAAAAAAAACACACCCCAAACCCACCAAACTGCAATGAGATTTCTCAAATGGAAGGCATATTTTTCTGTGCCCCTTCTTTTCAAAAATCAGGGTTTGGATAAGCATGAAATGTCTTTCAACTAGATTTAAAAAAACAACAAAAAAACCCACACTTCTTTTCTAACACATTTCAGGGAAAATCTGTGATGTTGGGCTGAGGTCCCGTCCATCATGAACAATCATCATTTTGCACTGTGGCCAACAGCCGGTTTCTATTGCTTCCAACTTGAGAAAGCTGTGCTGAGCCCTTCAACCAGAGGGGGGGGGGGAACCATTTCCGGAAATCTTTTCATTACACTAGTTATAAAGAGAGGGGAGGATAAAGAAGGAGAGAAAGAACCAGTCAGATCTATGGTTTAAGAAAAAGTGTGCCACTTCAACCAATAAAACAATCCATTTACGAGATGCCCCGCATTGATCACCTTCTTCTTGGTTGTTCAAGGAACCACCAAAAAGGTTATTTGGCCTCCTTTTTTTGGAACAAGATGGGACACAGGTACCCAAAGCCACCGGAACGCGCCCAAACTCCATAACCAGGCCTGCGCAGAAGCTTTGAGTATCACTAAAAAGGAATAATAATAATAATAAACAGAAATGGCAGAATTGGACCCACGTCTGCAAAGCAGACGGCACGGCCACGCCAGTTCGGGGGTCAGCCACAGAGAACCTCTGGATGTGGTGGTCGAATCGGGTGGCGTGGACTGCCATCACGCACGGAAACCGCCCAGCTTTGGCATCCACCAAATTGGAGCCGTCAGGTTCCCAGCGTGGCCACCCTGGAAAAGGGAGCAATTCTGTCCTCCACAAAGCGCACCCCCCCCCAAAAAAGAACTAGGACAGCTTGTAAGAGACGAAGCTGGGGTTGTTGGGTTTTTTTGGTCCACCAAGAGAAAATCCAGACCGGGGTGGGGGTGGGGGGGGCAGATCGAGAAGCATCTTCAACAAAGCAAGAGGAAGCCGGAGAGGCTGCGTGCCAGGGTGGTTGGCTAAGTGGTGCTTTAATTGGACATGATGCAAGACCTTAAGTGAGGTGTAATTGATTCTACAGTCGGAGGTGCTTCAGAAAACTGTTACTCTCTCGTTCCCCTTTGCTGGGGCAGCCTTACAACTTCCTTGCATTGACTTCCAAATGGATGCGTGGCAACTTCATTTATTTATTTATCTATATCGCTATCATTTCGGCTTGCAAACCTAACACAAAACCACTCAGATATATAAATATTTCCCCCTTTTTTCTGCCTACCTCACTCACTACTCCAACCCCTCCCCCAAGGGTCTTTCTGGATTTTAGGAAGAGAGGGGGAACAGAGAGGTTCTTGTGAAAACTTAAAACCTGAAACAGGCCAAGGAAGACGAACATTAAACAGCCCTCCCCCTACCATTCTTTGCTTTGAAGCCGACTACGAGACAGAAGGGTCTCCAAAACGTGAGTTTTTAAAAAAAGAAAACAATCAAAGTAGAAACCCTAACTTCTCCCCAAAGTTCTGTTGGACACACACACACACAGAGTTTGAAGCAGCACAGCATACAAATCTGTGCAGACTGAGGTCCGTGCTTCCCGGCTGTATCATACAAAAACCTAGAAAGAATACCGTTGCATTGAGAGGATTGCACTCGTTCTCAAAAGGCAGACAGACCATCTAAATGCCATGACAGTATCTGCTGGCTAAAGAAACTGTGCTAGCCTCTTCCCTCCTATGATTGGTTTGGAATTATTGACTTTAAGAAAAAAATAATACTGGCAGGGAACTTGCTCCAAGTCGGTATGAGAGATTCTTGATTTAAAAAAAAAAGATCTCATACACAGACAGTGTATGAGAAACCTTCTCTTCCTCACCTCGCGTGGCCTAATGCAGAGACGTGGCCACCGTATGTGGGTCTTCGGTGGGGTGCTTGTTGGAATCCTATTTTTTAATGTCTCCAGAAAAAGCTGGCTTTTGGAGACGAGATGAAGAGGTCTGAAAAATGGACCAGAAGGTCCCTATTTCGTTCCAAACCAGCCGGCCAGCTCTCACACCCATCCCTGTGGATTTCAGGTCTCCTTCTGGGCTATCTCGGGGGGGGAGTTTCCCACCCACCCCACAACCTGTGGACACACAAATTTCAGGGAGCCCGAGGCTCCAACCTCTCCTGATAAAGGCACAGGATGCGGGCCAGCCTGTGGGACAGAAGCTCTCCGCCTGGTTAATATATCTTACCTGGGGTTGCTCTTGTTCCAGTAGACCGCGTACCGATCCGAGATGATTTTGCTGCTATCATCTGTCCACACGCAGACCCTGACCAGGGTGACGAGGAAGACCGTGACCTCCAGTTGCAGCATCATAACTGATTCCGGCCCAGCGTCTTACGTCTGTCTTGGCAACCCTCAACTCCTGTTATAATTTTGATTTTATTTTCAATTCTTACTGGCACAGCTTGGCTTTCAGGAATAAGGCAGCCAGCCCATTTTTTTTTCTGCCTGGGGAGGGCTTTTTCTTTCTTTCTTTCTTTCAAAAGACTTATTATTTTTTTTTGTTAGGGGGTTGGTCAGCTGTGCTGGTCTCCACTTAGGCAAAATCCACACTTCCCTTCTTCCTCCTCGCCCCCTTCCCTGTCCTCTCAAGAAAAGCCCACACCCCAAGGGTACACCCTCCTTAATTCATTTCACTCAGTCGAGACCCCCATCGTTCAAGTAATTCTCCGGATCTTCTCGTCGTGGGCCAGGTCACATTCCCAGTGGCACAAAGCTATTAAAAAACCCGGCCCTGGCATGGGTTGATGAGGCCGATCAGAATTCGATTTCGCAGCCGGGGTGTTGGGGTGGGGATTGGTGAGCTTTAATCTAGTGTCTAAGAATAGATAAGCATGGAGGGGAGAATATTAATTCCCTCAAAGAAAAGTCATTCTCCAAACTTCTTCGGCTTTTGCTCAACTCTTCGCAAGAAGGCAAACGCACAATCATAGACTCAGCTTCGTTGCGGGAAGGCCAAAATCTTGAAGATCAAAGATGCTCAAAACAGGAGAAGATGGGGAAAAGCCAGCAACCTCAACATCTCCGAGAAACTACCTCCTGGATTTCCTCTCTTTCTTGAAGTTCCTTTTTTATTTGGCATGGAAGAAGGTAAAGAGAAAGCCAGATTTCTCCAGTCAACAGGCAAAGTTCAGGTTGCCATTTCTTCTCTGCGATGGTGCCATTCCTAGCAGGTCATCAACACCCGAAAAGAGGACAAAAAATCCATGGGAAACAAATTTGCAATTCCCAAGAATCAAAAATTCAGGGAGTGGGCGAATGACCAAAATGCTTCCCCCCTTTTTTTTCCAAGCGGTGGTCTGGAAACGAGATTTCCAACCCAGGTCCGTTTCTTTCCCCCCTCCAAAAAAAGGTGCTCAGCTCCCCCAAAACAAAAAGATTATAAAAGAAAAAAAAAAGGAACCACCCCCTCTCAAAAAAAAACCACATACATACAGAACTCAGTCCAAGTTTTGGTTCGGTTTGAAAGATGTGCCGAATTTTGTTTGCAGCTTTTCTCTTCTGTCTGCTTAGGATTAGAAGGGTCACCCAGGCGTCTTTTCCTAAAAATTAAAAATAAAAAAAAGTTTTAAAAGTTTTAACAACAAAGGAGAGAAGTCAGAAGGCCAGGCTGAGGTTTAAAAATCTGGAGATATTTTTTTCCTTTATGAAAAAAAAAAAGCAATTTCTCCCCCATTATAAAAATGCAGAAGCGAGGGGCTCAGCACTCCACGGCGAAAAATTCACAACAGGTTTCTCG